CACTATGAGTCAGATCTGACTTGACAGCAATGAGTTTGGTTTTTTTTGGTTATTATGGGCCAGTACTATCCTAGGCACTGGGAATAAAGTGGAGAGCAAACCAACTAAAATGGTGCCAACCCTCATAGATTGGACAATCTAATGACAGAGATGGACATGAATCAAATAACCTCATAAGTAAATGTAAAATTACAGCAGAGTTGAGTGCTACATGGCATTGTGATCATGTTTGGAAGGGGAACCCAACCTAGTCTAGGGGTCATTGAGTGTCTCTGAAGAAGTGACAATTTGAACTGAGATGTGTTGATGACTAAGTTACCTAGACAAGGCAGGTAGTGTATTGGGATAGTTAATCAAGATGTCTCTCTCTCCCTGGTCTGGAGATAAACACATGGCCCAAGCCAGGGGGTAAGATTCTTCCCTGGGGGTCGAATCTTCAACAGAGTGACCTGGGGGGCGCGGGGAGAACCACCAGGTGCAGCTGCTTCACCCAGACAGCTGTCCCCTTAGAGAAGCTGTCCCTTAGTTCCTGACTACCAGAATCCTGAGCTTCCCTGGTCCCTGCCCTGCCCCAGGCTTGACTGTCCACCTTCCCCTTTGATTTTCTCAGACTGCATCCTTCCATTTCTCTTTGAGCTGAGTTGGTTTTGGTTGCTTGTGACTAAAGACAGAATCCTAACTCATATAGATCTAATGCAAGGTTCCCAGGTACAGGGAATAGGAAGTTCAGAGTCCTCATAGTAGGGGGAGATTGGTTTAACAGGACTCCTCACCATCCTAATGCATAGACAATCCACTCTTTCTTATTCTATTTGCTCACACTACCCTCCTCCACTCTTTGGGGATATTCTCTCCTTGTTCTCCCATACTCTGCTATATAGATAGATGGATGTTAGAGATGATAGAGGTTTTTGTTTTTTTTTTCTTTAAGACAGGAAATAGAGCACGTAGGAGGGAGGGAGGGGAAAAAGAAGGGAGAGGATAAAGGATGGAAAGGAGTAGAAGGGGTGGTGAGAAAGGAAGGGAGAAAACAGATACGTCCAGTTCAGATGTTTCTCCCCTACTGAACAGTGATCATGTTCTCCCCTGAGGTCCCATAGCCCCCCTTTGTACACTCACAAATCCTCCTGCATTGAAGTAATATGTTTATCTAGTTTCTATCCCTGTGGGACAGGGATCTTGTTGGATTCATCGTTTTGTCCTCCACAGTAGTTGAGCCCTGTGCATTAACTTAGATGCTGAAAAGATACTGGTTCTTCTAGGCCAAGAACCACAAACTCCGGATAAAGCAGCGGAGCAGCACTAGAGGTCAAATCAGATAAGAAGGGTGTTCCAGGCAAGAAGACTGTGGTAGAGAAGAGAGGAGGAAAGAAAGCTATTGGTGTGAAGAAACCTTTGGTGGGAAAGATGGCTGCAACTACCAAGAAACCAGCAGCTGAGAAAAAGCTAGCAGAAAAGAAGCCTACCACAGAGAAGCAAAGCCTGCTGCAGAAACTGTTAAATTTGTTTATTCCATAGAAGTCAAATCATTTTAGACAGGCTAGTTTGAATAAAAGGTGTCTGGGTGGTGGACACAATCTTCTCTCAGCTACTAACCTAAAGGTTGGTAGTTCAAACCTACCCAGCAAGCAGCATGGAAGGAAGGCCAGGCAATCTGCTTTCATAAAGATTACAGCCTAGAAAACCCTACTGTAACATAGTGTCACTAGGAGTCAGAACCAACTCAACAGCACAGGCCTACTTTTTAATTTTTATTTTAAATAAAGACCTAATCAGAAGGCAGTGAGAAAGAAAGAAAGAAGGGAAGGAGGGAGGGAGGGAAAGAAAGAATAAAGAAAGGAAGGGAGGAAGGAAGAAACCAGATGTTGGTTGATTAGATGATAAGACTTGTGTTCTGGTTACCTGATACCACTCTAACAAGAATACACCACAAATGGGATGGCCTTAAAAACAGGAGATTGTTCTCTAACAATTTGGAGGCTTTAAGTCCAAGTTCAAAGTGCCAGGCTCTAGGGGCTGGGTGAAAGCCCCTCAGCCTTGGGCTTCAGCTCTGCCTCCAGCTCCCGGCCCACTGGAGCTAGAGGCTTTCCTTCACTCAGACAGCTGCTGGCTGCTGAGGCTGCCAAACCCAAGGTTGACAAGTAAAAAGGCACAGTCCTGATATTACCAAACCACATGGCAGGCCATTAATTCAAGTCCATCGTAAGTCCCAAGGTCAGCAGAGCATGGCAGGCTGCTGAACAACGACACAGCTATATGCAGGGTTCAAGCGTGCCATAAGCTAGAGACCATTCCCAAAGCTGCTTCTTATATACAGGAAGCAGACCACATATCCAAAGCAGCTACTCAGCTGCTTGTGGTAGAGCCCGCCATGGAGTTGACTGCCAGTCTCATCATGGGGAGTAACTACCACGAGCTGCTCAGCCACTCAACCAGGCCCAGCCAAGTTGACACACAAACATAACCATCACAACTGGGAATAAAAAATTCTTCAAAACTCAGAGAAAGGAAAGGCATCAAACTCATAATATCTAGCTTAATCATACATTGATGGAAGCCAACTAACAAGGTATCTTATGAATGATAAAATTTAATTGTTCTTTAAGACTATATTACCCAAGGAGAATGTTCCATACAATTTTAATTGTGCCACTAAGTTCAAAAATCTTACATTTAAGATGGTGAGTGATGTCTTCCTGAGAGGTTCAGTCATGCCAACTGCTGACTTAGTAGATTGACATTTTATCTCAATGTGGGCTCATCATGACGTCAAAGTGCTTATGCTGTACCTTGAGTCACTAACCCCATAGGGTTTCCAAGGCTGTAATCTTTATGAAAGCAAACTGTCACATCTTTCTCCTGTGGAGCAGCTGGTGGGTTCAAACTGCCAACTTTTTGGTTAGCCACTCAGTGCTTACCCACTGTACTATCAAGCTCCTTGGAAGTGCTTATACTAAGGTTTAAATATGCAGTATATATTATCAATCTGTTGTTGTTGTTATGTGACATTGAGTTGGCCCCAACCCATAGCAAGCCCTCCTTGGGTTTCCCAGGCTGTAAAAAACACACAAGTAGATTGCCCAACCTTCCTTCCAAGGAGTGGCTGGCCAGCCTTCTGGTTAGCACTCAAGTGCCTTAGGCACTATGCTACCAGAGCTCCTACTATCAATCTACTCTTACCTAATTGTTTCAGCAAAATATTATCTTTTAATTTGAAATCTTAAAAAAATTTGTTGCCTACTATAGAAAATTATGAAAATATCAGAGAATAGAAAGATTAAAAAGAAAAAAAAAACCTGGATACAAAAATATATAAATGTAATGATTACAAAAAAATCCACTAAAATATGCATGAAAAACACAGAGGACTGGAATTAAATATAATGGGAAATAAAATGTTTCATTTGAGTTTTATTTCCCACTATATTTAATTCCAATCGTCTGTGTTTTTCATGCATATTTTAGTGTGTGTTTTTTTTTAATCATTACATTTATGTATTTTTGTATCCAGGTTTTTTTGACCAAATGTCCTAACAGGAAGCAGTACAGTGTGGAGAGAGTAAGAAACAGAACTGAGTAAAAATTCTGGCTCTACCACTTACTAGCTTGAGTAATTCATTTCACTTTTGATTCTGGTTCTCAAGTTCCAGTTCTGTAAAATGGAGATACTAATTTACATCTTACAGATTAATTTATCATAAATACTTCGTTACTGTAGTTAATTGGCATTATTTAACTTTTATAAATATTTTTATTTCATAGAATTTGAGTTTATTAATTATAATCTACTTAACATAGAACAAAAATCCTCACAACTGACCAATAAGCAACATCATGATAAATGGAGAAAAGACTGAAATTGTCAAGGATTTCATTTTACTTAAATCCTCAATCAATGCCCATGGAAACAGCAGTCAAAAAATCAAACAAATATTGCATTGGGCAAATCTTATGCAAAAGTTCAAACCCACCAGCCACTCCTTGGAAGGAAGGTTGGGCAATCTACTTCTGTAGTGATACTGCCTCGGAAACCTAAGGAGGGGTCGCTATGAGTCAGGGCCGACTCGACCGACTCGACGGCACATAACAACAACAACAACAACAAAAATTTTAAAAAGCAAAGATAGTCACTTTGAAGATTAAGGTGTGCCTGCCCCATGCCATAATATTTCCAATAGCCTCATATGCATGAGAGAGCTGGACGATGAATAAGGAAGACCAAAGAAGAATTGAAGCCTTTGAATTATGGTGTTGGTGACGAATACTGAATATACCATGGATTTCCAGAAGAGTGAACAAATCTGTCTTGGAAGAAGTACAGCTGGGATGCTCCTTAGAATGGAGGATGGTGAGATTCGTCTCTCATACTTTGGTCATATCAGAAGGGACCAGTCCCTGGAGAAGGATATATCACGCTTGGTAAAGTAGAGGGTCAGTGAAATAGAGGAAGTCCTCAGTGAGATGGACTGACAATAGCTGCAACAATGGAGTCACACATAGCAAACACTGTGAGGATGGCACAGCACCCGGCAGTGCTTGCTTCTGTTGTACACAGGGCCGCTATGAGTTGGAACCAGCTCGATGATACCCAACAACAACAACAACACTTTTCTATTAATTTGTTTTTTGACAGTGAGATTGGAATTATGCGTTAAGAAGGAACATTTTGTGACTTCTGATACTCATAACCAAATAGCTGTTCAAAAAGGCAGAATCGGTTTATGTTCCCACAAATAACACATGAGAATTCCTATTTTATCATGCTCCTACCAGGATTTTGTATTTTTTTTAATTTACAAATTTGAAAAGTAAGTAATAATAATAGCTTTCAGGTCTTTGAGTATCAATGAGGTTCAACATATTTTCTTGTTTTAGCTTTCAGGTCTTTGAGTATCAATGAGGTTCAACATATTTTCTTGTCATTTTAAAACTAGTCTGGGTGTTTCCTCTTTTGAATTTTTTATCCCTGTGAACAAAGCATTCATAATCAGGCATTCTGCTTACCAAGTTTTAAAATGTTCCTTAAAATGCTGTAGTGCTTTCGCCACCACATAGCCAATTAAATTAGAACTCTCAGTACTTTCTTCAAGAGGAATCTTGATTGTGAAATTAGAGGAAGGCAGAATGCTTAAATCTACTCTTGTTTCATCTTGTTTGGAAGATTTTTCTTCACGGACACTTGGAACTACCTAGAGAAGAAGAGTTATACAATAAAAGATTATTAAATCCCAGTACACATTCAGGATTAGTTTAACAGCACATTAATGTTTGTGGCACAGTCAGTAGTGCTTAATCAGGATAGGCTAGATTGTGCTTAGGTAACAAATCACCTCCAATATTCCAGTTATCTTCCTACAACAGAAATTTATTTCTCACTCATCTCACAGTCATGGAGTGAGATCCAACTCATAGCGACCCCTCCTTGTGTTTCCGTGGCAGTGTCTCTATGGAAGTAGATTGCTCAACCTTCCTTCCGAGGAGTGGTTGGTGAGTCTGAACCGCCAGCCTTCTGGTTAGCAGTCAAATGCCTTAGGCACTACGCCACCAGAACTGGTGGCTTATATGTTGCTATGATGGGAAGCTATGCCACCAGTATTTCAAATACTAGCAGGTCACCCACTGTGGACAGGTTTTAGCAGAGCTTGCAGACTAAGAGAAACTAGGAAGAAAGGCCTGGTGAACTACATCTAAAAATTAGCCAGTGGAAACCTTATAGATCACAACAGAACACTGTTCAACTCATTTGCTTTGGACATATTGCAGGGACCAATCACTAGAGGAGAACATAATATTTGGTGAAGTAGAGGGCTATCAAGGCTGAGGGAGACCCTTGGTAAAATGGATTGGCACAGTAACCACAACTATGGGCTTGAACATGCTGTTGATAGCATAACACAGGACCGAGCAACACTTTACTCTGTTGTATGTAGGGTCACTATGAGTTGGAGTCATTTAGACAGCAGTTTATCTATCTAACTAACTATCTAACTATCTGTACCACACAGACACTCAGGACCCTGGTTGACAGAGGCCACACCATCTCCTGGCTGTAGCAATGGAGCATATGACTTTCTCTGTGCCCTCAGCAGAGAAAAAGAATGACTAATCACACATAAGCTTCTCACCATCTCAGTCTAGAAATAACCCTTGTCATTGCTCCTCACATTTCATTGGCCAGAACTTGCCACAAGGCACCACCTAAAGGAAAACATGAAGGAGCAGCTGGATTGTTTGTTTGCTAAGCACTACTGACTGTGCCACAAACATTAATGTGATCTGCCAAGTTTTGTACTGAATTTTCCTAGGAAATTTACAGTTTATGGTTTTATGTGTAATTTTTGCAAGAACTGGTCATCTGAAATGCATTTCAGTTATCCTTTTCATGAATTCCCAAGTGCATATACTTTGATTTGAATAATTTAAATGAAAATGTACTGACATGCAACATGATGTAATCTTAAGAGAACTATTTTAAAAATGTTTTCAAATAAATTCCCTTAGCAAATGTTAGGAGACCAAATAAAAACTGGTAATTTCTTAATTCTAGTTTATGAAGGAATAGTTATAACTTTTTCTCCTTTCTGCATAAAACATTTTAATTTAATAGAAAATTATGAAGCAAACACCCATGTAACCACAACCCAAGCAGCATATATTTTTTTTCACCTGCTGGAATTTGTATATTTCTTACACAAGTTTCCTCTCCAGTCCTTGTTGTTTCATGGCTTTGTACTTCCCGTTACGTGATGAAATAAAAGCTGCTTTGAGAAAAATAACTTATAGATAGTTTAACAACATGGTTAAGTTCACTGATTCTGGAGAGACGCTGCATGAGTTTGAATCCCAGCTGCATCACATACTAGATGTGTGATTTCAGGCAAGTTACTTAACCTCTTTGTGCCTCATCTGAAAATGGGAAAATAGTAATACTTACCTTATAGGGTATTAAAGAAGCTTAGGTATTTGGCAGCTCACCAGAAGGTTGGTGGTTCAAACTCACCAGCCACTCTGTGGTAGAAAGATGAGGCAGTCTGCTTCCATGAAGATTTATAGCCTTGGAAACCCTACAGGACATTTCAACTCTGTCCATAGGGTTACTATGAGTTGGAATTAACTCAACAGCAGTGGGTTTGGTTTTTTGGTTTTTATAGCATACTGAGTGAGCTGATATATGGAAAGTTTTTGGAACATGGCCTGGCACATAGTAAGTGCTCTTCAGAGCTGATTATTATTACAAAGATGTAGAATTGAAAACTATAATTTTATTTCATATATATATATTTTTTATATATATATAGCTCTGGTGATGTAGTGCCTAAGGCATGTGACTGCTAACCAGAAGACTGGAGGTTCAAACTCTCCAGCCACTCCTCAGAAGGAAGACTGGGCAATCTACTTCTGTAGAGATACCACCTTGGAAACCCAAGGAGGGGTTGCTATGAGTCGGATCTGACTCGATGGCAGTGAGTTTAGTTTGAGGTTTTTTTTTTTAATACAGAAGTGCATTTGTTATCAATATACATAAATATAGATAAATGTACTAGTGTCACTTAGAGACACAAGAAAGTAAGCAAATTAAAGCATAGAATGGAAAGTACTGATGAATAAAAATGAATATTGGCTATATCTTTCTAAATGTTAAAAGTTCTGCTAAAAATGTTTTTAAAAATTTGTTCTTTTTTTTTTTTGAACTTTGTGTGTGTGTGTGTGTGTGTGTGAGATTTGGGCGCAATTTTACAGAGCACATTTGTTTTCCAGTCAATAGTTTATACACGTTTTGTTTTGTGACATTGCATACTATCCCCACAATGTAACAGCTGTCTTTCCACTTCCTGCCTGTGCTTACCTTTGCCCTGTGTCCTTTTCTAGGCATTCCTGCCTTCTGAGCTTTCTCCCTGTGCAAATGCTGCCCTTCTGATCTCCCATGGTTCATTGTTCTAAGGAGTGCTTCTTCTGGTGTAAATTGTTCAACTCATAGGCCTGTCTATTGTTTGGCTGAAAATCAGGCCATGGGAGTAAACTCAATTCAATTATTGATTGATTACAAGAGACACACTAAAAAACCAAACTCACTGCCATCGAGTCAGATCTGATTCATAGCGACTCCTCCTTGGGTTTCCAAGGTGGTATCACTACAGAAGTAGATTGCCCAACCCTCCTTCTGAGGAGTGGCTGGTGGGTTTGAACCGCCAGCCTTCTGGTTAGCAGTCAAAGTGAGGTGTAATTTAAGATGGTAATACATTTTTATGTGACAGTTAACATATAAACCAACACCTGTTGCTGTTGAGTTGATTCTGACTCATAGAGACCCTATACGACAGAGTAGAACTGCCCCATAGGGTTTCCTGGGCTTTATGGAAGCAGTCTGCTACATCTTTTCCCACAGAGCAGCTGGTAGGTTTGAACTGTCCATTCTTTGATTAGCAGCCAAGCACTTAACCATTGCACCACCAGAGCTCTTGATTAGTGTATAAAAAGTCAAAACCAAAACCAAACCCATTGCTGTTAAGCTGATTCTGGCTCATAGTGACCCAATAGGACAGAGTAGAACTGACCCACACAGTTTCCAAGGCTATAAATCTTTATAGAAGCAAATTGCAACATCTTTCTCTTGTGGAATTGAGATATAGATATGTTAAATTCATAAGGTAAATCAGCAGTCTATTATGTCAAAAACTAATAAAAGCTATAATTTATAGAGTTCTTGCTTTCTTAAGAAATCTATACTAGTCACTTTACATACATGCATGATGTACGAGAACTTCAATTCTAAAGCACTTGGTTTGTGGAAGACTGCGGTCTACAGAAGGAGCCCTAATACCATCATGAGTCTTGACGTAAGTTCAGATGACATTTTAGTTCTTTATGTTGTGCTAGGGGAAAAAGACCCCAGATTCAAATTTGTTCTGCAGAGATCCTTTTATTAAACCTTAAATAGGATAAAGACAATCATCCAAGATTTGGGAACCATCAGCATAAGCACATACGCATGCACAGTACAGAAGCTGAAGGGAGTCCCATGGGGGCTAATAGTATGTAACAGAAAAGAGAGAAAATCACCACACAATCATGATTAGTGATAAGTCAATTCATCATTTTCGCAGGGGAACTACAGAAGTGGGAAAAGGACCATGACTGGGGTACATACATAACTGCATATTAAAAAGGGTTACCTGATTGGTTCTGGGCTTGACCATCTGGCTACATGGTGATCAGGTGATACCATGCGGCCCTGAGTCACAGCCACAAAGTAGTTATAAGATAATACCAGGACCTCAAACTTTAACTTAAATTAGGTAACACGGCTATTTTCAGTAAATCATCAAGGACACACTCAGACAACACAAAGACCTAGTTCTTTGTGCGAGCATAATCTACTTTCAACCACTGTCTTCCTGAGGGCAAGCTGCCCCTCTGTAGGTTTGCCCTAGACTTGTCTGTGCTTAGCCACATTGCTGCTCAAAATGGAGTTAGGATTTTTGCTGTAGATTGCAGCCTTCTGCAAACCAAGTGCTTTAAAATTTAAGCTCTAATGGAATGTTACTTCCACAATGCTTGCTTGCCATTAAACTAACAATGTGGCTATGCTTAGACTGGCCTAGGGAAAAGTGGGAGCTCTGGTAGTGTAGTGCCTAAGGCACTTGACTACTAACCAGAAGGCTGGCAGTTCAAACCCACCTGCCACTCCTCGAAAGGAAGGTTGGGCAATCTACTTCTGTGGTGATACTGGCTGGGAAACCCAAGGAGGGGTCACTATGAGTGGGTCCAACTCGAGGACAAATAACAACAACTGAGAAGAGCAGTTTGCCCTCAAGAAGAATGTGGTTGAAAGTAGATTAACCAGTATGCAGAAAGATGCTCACACAAAGAACTAGGGAACTGGCCTGGATATGTCCTTCTTACACAAAGAATTTATCAGCCATTCCTCAGAAAGAAGGTTGGGCAATCTACTTCCATTGTGATACCACCTCAGAAACCCAAGGAGGAGTCGAATCCAACTTGACTGCTTTGAGTTTGGTTTTTGGATTTGTCCTTGAAAGTAACAAATCCTATAACTTTTTTTAACCGCAATTACGTACATATTCTAGTCATGTTCCTTTCCCAGCTGCTGTGGTCCCACTGCCACTAATCATGATCTTCTGATGATTCCCTTTGTTCTCTGTAGTATGTGATGAACACCATGTAGTGATTCTGCAGATTACACTGGCCACTGGACTTTGTACCTGCTGATGGTTTCCCTCATCCAGATGACCATCTTTGTTTTGTCTTTATCCTGTTTAAGGCTTAATTAAAGGGTCTCTATAAAACATATTTGAGTCTGGAATCTTTTTCCCTAGCACAAAGTTAAGATAACCCAACCTACTGCCATTGAGTCAATTCTGACTCACAGTGACCCTATAGGGCAGAGTAGAACTGCCCCATAGGGTTCCCAAGGCTGTAAATCTTTACAAAAGCAGACTGCTTCATCTTTCTCCTCAGGAGGGGCTGATAGGTTTGAATCACCAACTTTTCAGTTATCAGCCCAATGCTTCAACCACAAAGACACCCAACCCACTGCCATCAACCTGATTCTGACTCATAGTGACCCTATAGTCACCAGAGCTCCTTCAAAGTTAAGGTAGGTATTATTATTCCCATTTTACAGGTAGCAAAACTAAGGTCTACAAAGGTTAAGAAACTTGCCCAAGATTCCTCAGCTGTTAAGTTTCAAAGTCAGGTTTTGAACTCAAGCTGCTTGACTTGAACATCTTCTCTTAAAAATTACATTTACTGAGTTTCTTAAAAGTTACTTCTATCTATTATAGCACTATAAGTAGAATTAGTTATCTCTGGAATATTTTGTGATTTAAATTGGTTTTACTTATAAAGTTCCTTGCTTTCTGAAGACCATGCACTGTATATTAAATCAAGGCAGTCTAAATATGATCACAAGGGAAATAGGAATATCCTTCTACAACCTGTTTTGAAGTTCAGATAAAATTAATAAGTAATTAACAGAAAAATCAAAGTATGCACATGTAACCCCCATATCTGCTCTTGGGTCTCACCGTTACCTTTATTGGATTAAAGATGTTCTCAGTTCCCAGGTTCCAGTTTGTCAGTTCAGACACCCAGCCAAATTGCTCTCTCATGTTCTCCATTAGATACGTGGTGCCTTCCAAGTGATCCTGTGTCATCTGGAGAATCTGGGCATATTGCTGATTGGATATGTTGACCAATTTAAAGGCTTCATCTAATTCTGTATGCAGTTGAGGTACATTAGGACAATCTAGCAAAGAAGAAAGTAACATGGTAATGGAAAAAGTCCATGAAATTTGGAGTTTGGCTTGAGGAAGTTTAAATCCCAGCTTTTGCACTTTGTGTGCTTTTGATTTTGGTGCAAAGGGCCAAATACTTGACTAGTAGCTGAAAAGTTTGACAGTTTGAACCCACCCAGAGGCATCTCAGAAGACAAGCCTGGTGAGCTGCTTCCAAAAGGTCACAGCTTTGAAAATCCTATGGAGCAGCAGTACTCTGCAAACCTGGAGCTTCGATGAATCAGAATCAATTCAATGGCAATTAAGTTCATGTTTAACTAAGTAAAGGAGGAGTGAATGAAATAACAGTGTAAAATGCCTTTATCACAGGTCATAAATTGCACCACGGAGAAGTGGTGGAAGTTCCCTTAGTGTTACTTTCCTTCCTTTTCCTCCTTTCTTCACTGTCTCCAAAGGTCATCAGAGATATTCACCGATACTCTGGTTCTTCTCCTTCAGGTCATGTGTAGGATTGCACTTTCTTGCCTGGAAGCTGAGCATGGCCATCTTGAAAGTGGTGAGACATCTCCCCTTAGAGGAGGCTTGCGTAGTGCCCAAGGCATTTGACTACTAACCAGAAGGCTGGTGGTTCAAACCCAGCAGCCACTCCTTGAAAGGAAGATTGGGCAATCTACTTCCGTAGTGGTACTGCCCCGGAAACCCAAGGAGGGGTCACTATGAGTCGGATCCAACTTGATGGCAGTGAGGTTTTTTTTTTTTTTGGTTTTATGACTCATTACATTCCCTTACCCTTGACAGTGGAAGTAGTGATGTTCTGTATGACGAAGCTCCATCATCCCAAGTCAGGATAGTGTAGCAGAGCCCCTACTCAAACTTCAGTTATCTTGTAATAGAGTGAGAAGGAAACCTTTGTGGTTACAAGCCACTCAGATTTTGTAGTAGTTTGTTATTATTGCACCATTTCTGCCCTGCCTGACTCTTTTCCATCCATTCAGTTTCCCTGCCCCTCCTTGCCTTCTCATCTTTGCTTTTGGGTATATGTAGACTGTTGGGTCTGGTATAGTTGATGGTCTGAAGAAGCATATTACTCATGGGTATTATTGTTTATTTTATAGGCCAATCTATTATTTGGCTTAAAGTTGACCTCCAGGAATGGCTTCAATTCCAGGTAGAAAGGGTATCTTAGGGCAAGAGTCTTAGGGGATCCTTTTCTCTATCAGTCTAATATGTATGGTCTTCTTTATGAATTTGAGTGCTGACACACTGCAAGGACTATAACTAATGACATGGAACAATGGGTGTATTACTTGTTGAATGGGAATCTAATTTGCTATATAAACTTTTATAATTTGTGATACAAGCACAATAAAATATGCACCCTCACAAATAAGAAACAGGCAGGATTTAATTAATTATGCTAAGTTTAGCTAATGGTTGATCGATATCTTTCCACCTTTTTATAAGCCCCATTGTGCCTAGCTTCTTCAAACCATTTGCTATTTCTGGTATCAAAATGATTTCCCTATATGCATATAGAATAACTGCTTAGAATAAACCTTATGTTCAAATTTCAGTGAGTTTTGATTATGTTTAACACAACAAATTTGCAATAGTTTATATTAGAAAGTGATTCAAGTAAACATTTTGAAAACAAAGGAAGTCGCAGCTAAGATATAGTGAACATTTGAAAGGAGCTCTGGTGGTAGAGTCGATAAGGCATTTTGCTGCTAACCAGAAGGTTGGCAGTTCAAACTGATCAGCTGTTCCATGGGAGGAGGATGAGGCAATCTACTTCTGTAAAGATTTACAGCCTTGGAAACCCAATGGTGGTCGCTATGAGTCGGAATTGACACTATGGCAGTGGCATGGGTATATATTTGAAAGGAGATCCAGATATTTATTTAAAATGGATTAACTCGCAACTTCAGAGTTTTTAATTTTTATACAAGTGATACAAAATTGCTTTTTAAAATAATTATGTGGGAGGAAGTGGTGATTTCCTTCATGATTGTAGTTAAGCAATTTTACAAGGGACACTTATTCACTCTTTTAAGGAGTACCATCCACAAAAAAGATTTCTCTAGAACAAAGGTGAAATTTCATGTAAACTACAATCACATGGAAAAGGAAAAAGTAAAACTATATCCATTCACAGATGACAGATCTTGTATATGAAAAATCTTAAGGCATACACAAACACACAACCCAATTAAAATTATTAAACAATTCATCAAGTTTGCAGAATACAAGATCATTATATAAAAATCAATTGTTTTTCTATACACTGATAACGAATAATCCAAAATTGAAATGAACAATTCTAATCATAATACTTTTTAAAAGAATGATATACTTAGGAATAATCTTTTTTTTTTTTTTTAAAGGAGTGAGAGACTTGTACACTAAAGATGAAAAAATATCTTTGCAAAAAAATTAAAGAAGACCTAAATAAGTGGAAAGAATTCCATTTTCTGGAATTAAAATGATTAATATTAAGATAGCAATATTCCACAAATTGACGTATAGATTAAATGCAATAGCTACGTAAATCCCAGATGCCTTCTTTGTAGCAATTGACAAGCTGATTGTCAAATTCATATGGAAATACAAGAAACCACAATAGTCAAAACAATCTCCAAAAAAAAAAGAAAAGAAAACTTACACATACCAGTTCCAAAACTCACTAACTATGAAGCTACAATATTCATGACAATGTGATACCAGCAATAAGGATAGACATATAGATCAATGGAATAGGAGTGAAATCCAGAAATAAACCCTTATAATACATTTTTTGTAAAGTGCCAAGATAATTCTATGGGGAATGGGACAACTGGATATTCATATGCCAAGGAAAGAAATTGGACCCCTACCTCACACCTCAGACAAAAATTAATTGAAAATGGATTAGAGTCCTAAATATAAGAACTAGAATTACAATACCCTTAGAAGAAAATATAGAAGTAAATCTTTATGACCTTGAGTTAGATAATGGTTTCTTAAATATTACCTCAAGAGTACAGCAATTAAAAAAAAAAAAACATTAATTGGACTTCATCAAAATTAAATTTTTTTGTGCTTCAAGGATCACCATCAAGAAAGTGAAAAAAAAAAAACCCCACAAAACAGGAGAAAATATTTGCAAATAGCATATCTAATAACAGATTAGTACCCAGAATAGATAGATAGATAGATAGATAGTAACTCCTCACTCAATAATAAAAAGATAACCCAATTATAAATAGTCAAAGTATTTGAATAGGCATTTCTCCAAAGAAGATATGCAAGTGGCCAATAAACAAGTGAAAATATGCTCAACATCACCAGTTATTACTCAAACTCACTGCCATCAAGTTGTTTCCATCTCATAGAGGTCCCACCTTGGGTTTCCAAGGCAGTATCTCTACAGAAGTAGATTGCCCAGTCTTAAACACAAAACAAAACTATAATGGGATGCCATTCACATCCACTAAGATAGCTGAAATAAAAAAGATGGACAATACCAAGCTTTGGCAAGGATGTTGAGAAATTATAATTCTCATTCATCACTGAAGAGAATATAAAATGATACAGCAACTTTACAAGAGAGTTTGGCAGTTCCTCAAAATGCTAAACAGAGTTATTGCATGGCCCAGCAATTCTATTCCTAAATATATACCCAAGGAAATTAAAACCATAGGTCCACACAAAAACTTTTATTCAACTGTTCATAAAAACACAATGGCCAAAAAATGACAACAATTTTTCAATCTACCACACGTTTCTTTGCCAGTGAAACATCCTAGTTCATGCCTGTTGTTCTAGAGTAATTATTAATATTGTCTATATCACTTTCAAAACAGATCAAGTTTACTTGATAATTATACAATCTTATGTAACAGACAGTGGACTGGAGGCAGAAGTTCCTTGTTATTCATGACTAATTGATGCTGGCAAAGGAAACAGCCATTTACACTGAATCCACTTAAAACTGGGACCAAAGATTTGTATGAAATGATGGGAAAAAAATGCTTTGTAATGTTTTAGAAAAATTTTATTTATATTATACATATTAAATATGAGGTTATAATTGTGGTAAGTTTTACAACAAAAAATGAATCAAATATTGATTTAAAGAACAAAATTCTTGTCTGATAAAATATATAAGTTGTTTGTAATAGCAAAACACTGGAAAAAACTTAAATGTATTTCAGCAGGAGAATGGATAAACAAATTGTGACGTACCTACATAGACTAATATATAACAGTGAATTAATGAATAGCAACTACACATATTTGAGAAACCACATTGCTAAAGAATACATAAGCAACAATATTTATATTGTTAAGAAAAATCATCCGAAACTTGGAAATAAGGAAAAAGAATGATTACATGTCCTTTCAACATCACACTAAAGTATTGCCTAAGAGGCCCACCCAAGGATGACTTAATTCTCTAGGAGAATAATCTTTTGCTGGATTTAGTGTTGATTAGGGCCAGACTTTGAGGTTAGATGTAAATTATGGACTGAAAAGTTGCAAAAGATTTTTGTCTAGTAGAATGTAAATTATTTGTCAGATAGACAAAACAACTGCACAAGTTGAGAGTTTCATTGCCCTTTAGTACATTAACTAGCTTTGTATCTAATTTTTCAATCTTATTTCAGCATTCTTTCTATCCTTGACTAAAAATTGGTCTCTTCTATACCACTTTAACACTCTGGTGTTTCCTTCATTAGTAAGTTAAATTAATTTTTGACATATGCTCATTTTATATGTGTATGAGTCATATTTTTAAAGTTTAAGAAATTATACTATGACAATGTAAAGATGAAAAACATGTAAGACACTGCTGTGTATGGTATTTGTATGTATGTATGTGTGTATAAGAAGGCCTCTGGTGGCATACTGCCTAAGGCTAAACTGCTAAACAGAAGTGTGGTGGTTCAAACCCACTGGCCACTCCTCGGAAGGAAGGTTGGGCAATCTATTTCCATAGCGATACCATCTTGGAAACCCAAGGTGGGTTGCTATAAGTCAGAGACAACTCGACAGCAACAACATGTGTGTATGTATATACATGTGTATGTGTGTGTTTATATATATATATACATACATACATATGCAAGGAAATAATAGACACTACCATTCAAAATAAGAGCTTCCTTTTGAGAGGATAAAGTACACCTGATTTGGAAAAGATACAGTAGGGGGTTCATTTATTTTGATAATGTTTTATTTCTTAATCTAGGTGGGAGGCACATAGGCTTCAATTATATTATTATTTATACATTTATAGTAAAATGCACTTTATAACATAGGAGCACATTATGACATCCTTTCCCTCCTGTTTTATTTTGCAGCCATCCATTTACCTTGCATTTATACTGTGTTACTTTATGACAACCAAGAAGAGGTTATTCATCAAAGCCTTTAACCAGATGAAAGGAAATAGATGTTAGTGATAGAATGATGGAATGTTTGAGTGGGACTATTTTGTAAATAGTCAGTTTGTAAGTGTGTATCTTTCTGTTATAAAAAGTTCTGTTTCTGTATGCAACCTGTAACTGTGTCTTTAAAAATGAATACTTGAAAATGAGAATCCGATGCTTCAGCAGTTGAAATGAGAATTATTTAATCTCCACAGCACCTGAACGAAGTAGACATATTACTCCTATTTTTCAAATGATTAAACAGAGGCCCAGAGAGTCATCCTAACTCACTGCCGTCCAGTCGAATGCGACTCACAGCAACCCCTCCTTGAGTTTCCCAGATTGTCTAGCCTTCCTTCTGAGGAGTGGCTGGTAACTTAAGAGAAATTAGAAACCCCCTCCTATCTACTCCAAGTAATCCAACAACAAAGAACAAAAAGGTCCAGTTCTTATTCAAAGCTATCTAGGACAATACTTTTCAAACCTTTTTCTACCTGCACAGATTCTACATGTACAAATATATGTTCCATGATGGGGTAGATGTGTCCATGGAAATACACTTTGGTCCCAGAGGGTTGGGGAGAAGTAAGAAGTTTGCTTATATCACAGACTTTTCTTTTAAAGAAGAAGGAGAGAAATTTGACTGATGATGTGGGACAAAGATGAGAAGGAACGAAGTGAAAGAGGGAAAAGGAAATGACCAAGATAGAAGTAATAAAGTTAGAAAAAGTTTCTGGGCAGCTGGATGTAGTATTCCCCATGATGAGACTGGTAATCAACTCCATGGTGGAATCTACTGGGAGCAGCTGAGTAGCTGTCTTTGGGTATGTGGTCTGCTTCTTGTATATAAGGAGAAGCTTTGAGAATGGTCTCTAGCCTATGGCACACTTGGACCCTGCATGTAGACATGTCGTTGCTTGGCAGCCTGCCATGCTCTGCCGACCTTGGGACTTACAATGGACTTAAGTTAATGGCCTGCCATGTGGTTTGGTAACATCGGGACTGTGCCTTTTCACTTGTCAGCCTTGGAGCTTCTCAGCCTCAGCAGCCAGTGGCTGTCTGAGTGAAGAAATGCCTCTAGCTCCAGTGGACTGGGAGCAGGAGGCAGAGCTGGACCCCGAGGGTGAGGGGATTTCACCCAGCCCCTAGAGCCTGGCACTTTGAACTCGGACTTAAAGCCTCCAAATTGTAAGAATAAACTCCTGTTTGTGAAGGCCATCCCATCTGTGGTATATTCCTGTCAGAGCGGCACTAGGTAACCAGAATACAATCTTTTAAGATTTATCAAGACTAGCTCTGTGAGCTAACATTTGGTTGTTGTTGTTATTTGCCATCGAGTTGGCCCCGACTCCTAGTGACCCCTCCTTGGGTTTCTGAGGCAGTTACCACTACGGAAGTAGGGCACCTCTGCTTTTTAATGTCCTTTCATTAGGCTTGAGTGAAGTCAAAAGTAGAAGCACAGGATCAGAAAGTTTGTGACATAACCCTGGTGACTTTAGTGAGGGGAAGGAACAGGAGATGAGACAGGGATAGAGGGAACAGAGGAGACAGAAGGATTACTCCACTGAGGAAAGGCCAGGAAAGGCCATTCTGGGCTAGTCTGTTGTTATGTGCCGTCAAGTCGGCCCTGACTCATAGCGACCCCTCCTTGGGTTTCCAAGGCAGTATCACTACGGAAGTAGGATTGCCCAACCTTCCTTCCCAGGAGTGGCTGGTGGGTTTGAACCACCAGGCTTCTGGTTAGCAGTCAAGTGCTTTAGCCACTATGCTACCAGAGCTCCTCTGGACTAGTCTAGGAGGGAACTAATTAGTATAGGGCTAATGAGGAGAAGCCACTTTCTACATTCAAATGCTAATTAGTTACTTAATTCACCAACTGGAATGAGTTAATGCTACTTTCAGAAAAAATCTTACTTGCCTCAAAATGGGAAGATATTCATTAGGGGTGGCTTTTTTTTTTTTTTTTCTTTTCACAGTAAGGAGGAATTAGTTGTCCTAATTTGCTCATTGTTTTTCTCTTTTGCACATATTAGTATTTGTTTGGTCTTTAACCATAACAACAACAACAAAAAGAATAAAGAAAAAATTCACAAGAACAATGAGGGAATTAATTAAAGAAAGCAAAAAGGCGGATTAACATACTTCAGAATAATAAAAGTTTTTAAACCTGCATTGAACACCCCCAGATGGAAAATGTGCTTGAAGGAAAGGAAATGAATGCACAATGCTGATAAAAGTGAGCTTTTGACCTCTGACCAGAGTGCTATGGAAACTCTGAGAAAATGATAACTATTTACCTTCCCATAGATAATCCTGACATTTTTGACATCTTTCATGAAATTTCAAACATCTTGACAAATTCTGGCCCAGGTGTGCACACAGCCCACTGTTGGGCACAGGTAAGATCTTTGACATCAGGTCTCCATGGTGGGGGTCTGCAGGGAACATAACATTTACATACTTATGTCATTAAGGTTTGTACTTTAAAGAAGTACATACAATGTCATTTCCTTTTCTTACCAGTGCTTTCAAAATCACTTTTCTCCCCAGAATTCAAACATAGGGGTGCCTATTAGTCCAACCATTTATTCAGATAATTTGACATCTATTAAAAATTGCATGTACCCTTTAATCCAGCAATCTCATCACTAGAAGTTTATTATTTGTACACACACACACTTTAATGCATATAATTTTATTTTCTAGAAGGAATCATGAAAAATTGTTTTTCTCCCCACTTTTTCTTTTGTCATTGAGAATATACACAGTAAAAGATACACCAATTCAACAGTTTCTACAGTACAATTTACTGACATTGATTAAGTTTTTTCTAGTTGTGCAACTATTCTCATTCTCCTTTTCTGAGTTGTTCTTTCCTCATGAACATAAATTTACTGCCCCAAGTTCCTATCTGATCTTTTGAGTTGCTGTTGTCAGTTTGATCCCTTACAGATAATTCTTAAAAGAGCAGAATGCTCAAGGCAGACCTTCCCCTCCTCCACTAGATATGCTAAAATATTGTTTGGTTTTAAGAAGACTTCAAGTGATATTTTTGGTTTAAGGTTAAGACTATCTCAGGGCAATAATTTCTGGATTCATCTAGCCTCCATGGTTCCAGAATGGCTAAAGTCCATAAGAATGTGAAATTCTGTTGTACATTTCCCCACTTTTGATCAGGTTTCTTCAATAGGATCTTTGATTAAAATGTTCAGTAATGATAGTCAGGCACCATCCAGTTCTTCTGGTCTGGTGGCAAAAGACGCAGTTGTTCACAGAAGTAATTACCCATACATTCCATGTTGTTTTGTTGTTAGGTGCTGTCGAGTCATTTCTGACTCATAGCGACCCCATGCACAGCAGAACGAAACACTGCCTGATCCCACACCAGCTCCATGATCCTTGCTATACTTGAGCCCATTGTCACAGCCACGGTGTCAATCCATCTTGTCGAAGGCCTTCCCCTTTTTCGCTGACCCTCCACTTTACCAAGCATGATATTTTTCTCCAGGGAATGATCCCTTCTGACAACATGACCAAAGTAGGTGAGACAAAGTCTGGCCATTCTCGCTTCTAAGGAGCATTTCAGCTTCACTTCCTCCAGGACAGATCTGTTAGTTCTTTTAGCAGTCCATGGTACTTCCAGCATTCTTCGCCAGCACCACAACTCAAAAGCATCA